CTTATTCCAATCCAACTCATTCGGACTTCTTCTTATGCCACCATCAACATCAATGAAATAAGGTTCAAAGTTGGAATCCACAAACTTCAATCGATTAAAAGCCTTCTCATACTTTTCGGCGGCCTCTAACATCAAATAGGTAAAGTTCCACCTAGTTGGTACATCTAGGCATACAAGAGCTTGTAAATCAAGTTTGAGTGTGGCCACACACTTCTTAAAAACATCATGCCTATGAGGAGAAGACCTCACACATCTCACCGCAAGTCTAATGTTGGCAATAGAATCATCCATTTCTTTCAACCCATCACTCACAACGAGATTAAGAATATGTGCACAACAACGCATATGAATAAACTCATGTTGCAAAATAGTCCCCTTCCAATCTTTGGTTATCGTTTTCAAATATTGAATGGTAAGATTATTTGAACTAGCATTATCAACTGTTAAGGTGAATATGCTATCAATGTTCCACTCAATTAAACACGACTCAATTTTTCGACCCAATGTTTCTCCTTTGTGATCCTCAACTTGTTGAAAATTTATGATTCTTTTTTGAAGTTTCCAGTTATCATCAATGAAATGAGCAGTCAAACACATGTAACACAAATTCTGAATAGATGTCCAAGTGTCCGTAGTAAAGCAAATTCTACGACCCTTCATGGCCTTCTTTAACTTATCCCTTTCATTCTTGAATATGTTGAGCACTTCTCTAGATATGGTTTGACGAGAGGGAATTGGTGTGAATTTGGGTTGCATGACATTACAAAATCTTCTAAACCCAACACCCTCCACAAATCTAAATGGTAACTCATCAATGACAACCATCTCCGCAAGAGCCCTTTTACAAGTATCAAAATTAAAAATTGTTGCTACAACCTCAACACCCTCTTCATTTTGCTTCGGTTTAAGATTTAGTGTTTGTTGACCATCTGTATCCCTATTTGGATATTCTTTACAATTGGGTGTATGACTCCTCAAATTACTAGTCCCATGAGTTCTAGAGTCAGCCATATACTCTTTCTTACAATATTTACATACGGCTCTACGCTTCCCATCGGTCCCTACAACCTTGTCAAAATGATCCCAAACTGTGGATGGTGCTCTCCCCCCTCCACCCTCACTCTTTCTCTTTGGGGGTCTAGGAGGCTTAGGTTCAGGTTCATGTTCGGGTTCGACTAAGAGGGGATTCATTTGAGAATTAGAGGATTCCGGAGGTACAAGATTGATTGCGGGAGATTGAATACTATCCTCCATTTAAACTGGATTACAAAAACAGTCAAGGATTCAATTTTAATTCAATCAAACAGATTAATTCAACAGATTTAATCAAAAATTCCCTAAAACTCAGTTTTACATGTAAATCACATGTAAATCAGTTTTTATAGGCTAACACAAACACAAACACAAACTATCAAGAAGACTATCAAGAAGACTGGATTAACTCTTCTTCCTTGCACATAACACAAACTATCAAGAAGACTTTTGAAAAGTTGAAGGTATATAATTAGGCAATCTGGATATCATATTAAATTCAAACAGGCTGTGCAGTTCTGCAATGCATTAAAAGGAAAAAGTTCACCTTCTAGAAGAAAGACATTACAGGAGTTGGAATCATCATCATAATTTATGTATTACATATAAAAAAAAAAGTGATCACAGAAACTTAAAATGGCCATGTATTTACATGCACTTTAAGGATGAAAACTTGTCCACAATATCAACATTATGACTACTAAAATGCATTTTAAAATACAACTTGGTAGGCATTTATAGGCTAAAATGCACTTTTAGTCATTTTTTATTAAAATTCAGTTTTTGATTAAAATTCCCTAAAACTCAATCTACATGTAAATCAAAAATTCGTGTTACAAATAAAACTCATAAATAGAATAAACCCAAAAAATCAGTGATAGTATACAAAAACAATCACAGATTAATTCAACAGATTTAATCAAAAATTAATTCCAAAAAACAGAATTATTTTTAATAACAGATTGAATTCCAAACAGATCTATGAAGTTGCAAACAGATCTATGAATTCCAAAAGTGTAAACCATGCTTCTATACAAATTCAATACAGATCCAACACAGACATATCTATACAAATTCAATACAGATCCAATTTCAATACAGATTCCAAAAAAAAATTAAATAAAAAATTACATAGACAGATTTAAATCAAAAAATCTGTTGCTTAAATCAAAAATTAAATCAAAGATTATACATTCCAAACAAACAAACACAGACAGAGATCAGGGCGAGAGAGAGAGAGAGAGAGAGAGAGTTACCTGTGAGAGAGGGCCGATCGGTGTGGATGCAAAACCAGAGAGTAAGAGACTGTGAGATGAGAGAGTGAAGGAGATGAGATAGTGAGGGAGACAGATCAGAGTCAGAGAGAGACAGATCTCATTTGTTCGAAAAAAAACCAAATATCGGGGAGAGAGAAACATAGACAGAGATCAGAGAGAGGGGCTTTACCTGTGTGCGATGAGGTCGATCGATTGGTCGATCTTATGAGAGAGAGATTCGATCGCTGAGTACACAAATGAAAATCGCGAGTGAGAGTGAGAGAGAGACCGAGAGGAAGAGAGGAGATAGATACAGTTCTAATGAGTGATGAGTGAGTGAGTTTGATTAGGTTAGGGTTTTCTTTGTTTTGGACGATCAGATTTAAAAGGGCAAAAAAGAGGTTATTTTGAACGGTCAGATCAGATTTAAAAAAAAAAAAGAAAAAGGTTTTATGCGGGCGGGTTGAGCGGGTGCGGGTCAAACCCGCGACTCGCCCGCAACCTGAAATTTACATAAAATCCAAACCGCACCCTACCCTAATGTGTTTGCGAAACCGCCCATACATGCGCGGTTCGGATCGGGTAGGGCGGTTTGGGCGGTTCGGATGACCCTATGCCCAGCCCTACTCTAGACTAGAGAAGAGGATTCCTGATCCTCCAAACAGCACCCAAAACCACTGCCATCAGATAAGTACGTCTCCAGTCATACGTTATCAACGACGTCATCCTTTCCTTTATTATAATACCCTTCTGTTGAGCCTCTAGAAGTCTCTCGCTCTCAGTACCCAAAACACAGAAGTTTTAAAAGAGCTGAAAATGACTTCATCTACCATTATTCAATGAGAGAAAATGATAGTACTGACATGTGCAATTTTTTATTTTTTTTCCCATTTTCTAGTAGTTATAAAGTAATTACGAAAGAGAGTGGTCTCACTGCATTTGCTCTCCATCTTTAAAGCAAGATATTCATCATCTACGCAGCCAAAAGCAAGCGATCGTTTCAAATGTCTGCAGGTATGTCTTTGCTTGTATAGCCTTTATTATTAATTAATTGAAACATGATTGTATTAGATGGTTTGTTTAACAAAAGGAAAATGCTATACAAATAAAATAAAATAAAATTTACAAATTTTTCTTACAAACTAATGTGGCATTTGGAATGTGAAATGAGACCTAATTTATTAATATTCTAGGTGATCCATCAGTTGTTAAGGAAAATTTATTTGAAAAATTTGTTTGTGTAGCACTGCTCTTAACAAAAAATAAAGTCAGATTTTTAATTCTAACAGAGCACCCATTAAGGCATTTGGATGGGCTGCCCGTGACCCATCCGGAGTTCTGTCTCCCTACAACTTCTCCAGGAGGTAATTTCTTTTTCTTTTTCTTTTTTTTTTTAAACTTGGAGAACATTTATATTAAAACAACAACACGGAGAAATATTTAGAAATAGATTATTTTAGTAATTTTTAATTTTTTATGAGAAGAGATACAGAACGTAACCTGATAATTTATAATAATTTTTTAACTTTTTAACTAAAATATATAATTTCCATAGCCTAAAGGGCTATTCAAACCATACAAGCAAAATGAAAAAAACAAGCAAACAAAAAATAAATTTGTCAAAAAAAAATCAGTTACCATATAAGAAAAATACAGATCTTAATCAAACAAGATCTTAAAAGCCCAACGTCCTGTCAACGTCGTCCTCGTTACAGCTGTCCAACTCCTAATTACCACTTCTCTGTTTGTTTGTTTGTTTGTTCTTTTTTTTTTTTTTTTGGTGATGAATAATTTGTTTGGGGAGTTGATAATCATTTTTGTGGTTATAAAATCATTTGGAACACTCCGTTTGGATCGACTGATTTGATAAGAGATAAAGAGAAGGAGAATTTAAGAGGGAAGAATTGATGAAAAATAGTGACATAGTAAGAAAGAGAACCGTTCGTAATACTCTGTTTATAAATTATCAGCCTGGTTTGGCTATCATCTTGGGAAAAAGTACAAAATGACAAAATAAGTTGAATAATTTAATAAGTTAAAATATCATATTCAATCCATAATTATTATGTTTTTTCTCTCATAAAAATCAAAAAATCCAAAAAATATAAACCAAACGAGACTAAAAAAGTTCAAACACAAAAAAGTTAATTATATTCACCAATGCCAAACGAAGCATCAAACTGTCCGTGAAAATACAAAACATATAAAGAAAAAAAATGTCACCCATATTCCAATTTAAATATTAAAAAATGATTTTTCTCCTAATTTGTCCCCAATTTCACCCAATGATGTGGAATTAGAGGAGTTAAAAGATGTGTGGAATTAGAGGGGTTAAAATAGGAGAGAGAAGTGTGTCATTGGGGTGGAATTAGAGGCTTCAATTAGAGGATGTAGCGGGACTAATAAATATAATAGTGAGACAAAACGTTTTTTTTTTCTTTTTTTTTTTGGGTCATTTAGACGAAAGACAACAATCATTCATTTTCTTTTTCTCATCCCCTGATCCAAACAATAGTAGTTTGGGTTTTATTGTTGTGGAGGATGTTGACAGTGATGGATATGAGGATGTTGACGATGATGGTTGCAGGGCAACAGGGGATGAAGATGTTAGGTTCAAAATTCTGTACTGTGGAATCTGCCATTCCGATCTTCACTGTGTTAAGAACGAATGGGGCATCTCCAAGTACCCCCTTGTCGCCGGGTATGTTTCCAAAAACCCCTCTGTAATATATTTCTTGGAGTGTATTAGTTTGTGCTTTGGAGGATTTTGATGCTGATCCTTGTATTAGTCTCTTCATATTTAAATTGCTGATACAGTCAACAGAATTTTGTAGAAATTAGAACTGATAATTCGAGATTTATTGGTGTAATTCAACAAGTGTACTTAATTGTGTAGTTGTGTACGCAAACTTGTCCTATAACTGAAAAGAATTAGTGAAGAAAATGGTGCTCTCTCATATGTGTAATCGAATTGGAAGGAGGACATAGAAGAAGCGAAAAAAAACTAGTTATCAATTTTGGAAAGGGCATGTTTATTCATTTTTCATTTTTTCATGCGTCTTATGTCAGAAAAGTAATAGTTTAATGGGTGCTATCAAATTGAAATTTGATACCACAAGTTATCTGTAATGAAGAAATTAGACACATTTTTAATCTAGATGAATGCCTCTGTCAGATTTAACAGATTCCTGATCGGATAATTTACCAGTTCTTCAAAGGGATACAAGCTAGAGCTGGCTTCGTTGTTTGCTAGTCTATCATGTGACAATGTCTCATTCTTTCAGTTTCCATGACTCATGTGGACATTTTTTTGCACTGCAGACTGCTATTACAAATGCATATTAGCTCACTTATAATGGAATCCTCAAATGTAATTGCCAAATGGTATAGATATTGGTAGTTGTATTATTTATGATATTTATTAACGTTTTTAAACCACATGCACGCGCGCGCGCGCGCGCACACACACACACATATATATATATTGCTTTTATATCTAAATTAAATATAAAATTTGCACCTCTTGATTTTTCTGGCTCTGCCATTGTTAATAAATCTACACCCATTTTTGGCTCTGGTTCACATTAAGATGCCAATGTTACCACATTGATTTTTTATCCTACTCCTTTAATTACACCTGAAAAGATGTTCTGATTTTAAATTTCTAATAGCTTATTTAATCACACTTCGATATATGTGTGTGAATACAATTTATATATGTAGGCATGAGATTGTGTAGTGACAGAGGTGGGTAGCAAGGTACAAAAGTTCAAAGTTGGAGACAAAGTTGGTGTTGGTTGCATGGTTGGAGCGTGTCACTCATGTGATAGCTGCAAGAACGACCTTGAAAATTACTGTCCAAAAGTGATTCTCACCTACAACTCCATATACTATGACGGAACCATGACATATGGAGGCTATTCTGATCACATGGTTGCTACTGAGCGCTATGTGGTTCGGATTCCTGACAATCTGCCTCTTGATGCATGTGCTCCTCTCCTTTGCGCTGGGATCACAACTTATAGGCCCCTAAGATATTTTGGACTTGACAAGCCTGGTCTGAATTTGGGCGTGGTGGGTCTAGGTGGGCTGGGCCATGTAGCTGTGAAGTTTGCCAAGGCTTTTGGGCTTAAAGTCACTGTGATCAGTACCTCCCCTCGCAAGAAGAAGGAAGCTATTGAACATCTTGGTGCGGATTCATTTCTGATTAGCACTGACCCTAATGAGATGCAGGTAACCATTTTTCCTCCCTTATATATGATATTATAACTTCATGGAGATTCGTGAGTGTTTACTGATATGTTGAGTTATATAGGCTGCTATGGGCACTTTGGATGGAATTATTGGCACAGTCTCTGCAGTTCACTCTTTACTACCATTGCTTGGTCTGTTAAAGTCTCATGGAAAGCTCGTCTTGGTTGGTGCACCAGAAAAGCCATTTGAATTACCAGCCTTTCCTTTGCTTATGGGTAAGCATTTGAGATTGTTTTAATAAATAGCAAAACATATATTTTAGCTAAGCAATAGAGGCATTGCGTTCCACATTTGGGTTATTAGGCTGGTAGTGTTTTTGTTCTATACAAAGAAAGCAGAAAAATTATTGTTGGCTTAGATAGTGTAGCCCTGTACTTCATTTTATATATGTTGAAATGCGTGTATATACATCCCTTTGATCCTTTCTACTGTTTAAATAAATAAATGTTAGCTAATATGAGATTCGGAATGACAGGGAGGAAAATAGTAGCTGGAAGTAACATTGGGGGTATGAAGGAGACACAAGAAATGATTGATTTTGCAGGAAAACACAACATAACTGCGGACATTGAGGTCATCCCAGCGGACTATGTGAACACTGCTATGGAGCGTCTTGCCAAAGCTGATGTTAAGTACCGTTTTGTCATTGACATTGGAAACACACTGAAAGCTGCCTAGTCTTTACCCTTATGCTTCCTAAATTTAGTTTGTTGTAGTGACATGGTCACCGATATGGGAGACTATTAAGTTGTCTACTGTCTTTATTTTTTTTTTTGTAATGTCGGGCTTTTTGTTACCAATGTTGGAACATCTTTTCTACTGGTTACATCCTGTGTCTCCTAACCCAGCTTAATTTTTAAGTGCACTTTTGAAGATCTCAAATGCATTGCTACAAAATAGTTGACTTAACTGCTTGACATTATGTAAAGAGTGCGTGAGAAGTATTACCCAAAAAGACAAAGTCTTCACTCCTTCGTAATCAAATTAACCATGTTTGCGTCTGTAGGTAACAATGTCAATGTTTGGGGTTCCATTTTTTTTGCTTGAATTCTAATTTTGATATAGTGGCTAGGGGTAGTGATAAGGGGTTTGTAGAGGTGGACATTGGTATCTACAAAGGTATTCTTGGTACTTAGGTCATCTCCAACCCTGAACCAAACCGGTCATCAAATTTAAAATTTGGTAAAAAAATCACTTTTTCATACTCCAACGGTTTCACCAAACCGGTATTAAATTCATAATTCATCAAACAAATCATCAAAGTGAGAACAATATACAAATTTAATCAAAACACTGTGCGTGACCGTTGGAGGGAGGAACCGGTTGACCAACCGGTTGACCTCTACGTCAAGGTTGGTTTGACCTATCAAGTGGTTGGTTTGAACTGCTTGGTTTGAACCGTGGCCGTTGGGAGCAATCGGTCGACCGGCCGGTTGACCCACCGGTCCACCGGATTGAGTCCTTCGGCTAGCATTTTAATTGGTACAGTTTTGAGGGTAGCATATGAACTGGTTGGTTTCATTTCATGTTGTTTGAGGTGGGTTATTTTGACATAGTTTACTTTGTGGATTATGAATAATTTAGAGGGTGATATAAATTTTAATTTTCTTCAAAATATAAATAAAATTGTTACCTTTTACATATATATTACAGAACTAGGCGTTACAATAATAAATTACCGTTGGATGGACAGACTATTTTGAAAATTTACCGTTGATGATGTGCTCTATAAAATAGATCTGATTTCTATATCAAGACAGTATTTCATTTTCAGAATATCAAGACAGAGTATTTCATTTTCAGAATAGCATTACGTTTATATGTTGTGAGTTTTGTTTCTTTTGTGTCAATACATATTTTTTTCTCTTGAAATTTTAATTATTAGTATCTCAATAAATTATCTGATTCTGAGTTTGAGCTTATATCATTATAATATTTTTTAGTAAGTGTACTGTATTTTTTTCAAAGTATGGAAGATTTCGAAATGTTTGGAAAATCACAAATGTTGGAGCAAAACACTGATATTAATTTTATGTCGGAATCTTCACGAGAGCAGAACACGCAGAACAGTGATAATCATTTTATTTCAGAAACTTCTCGTGTTTCTCATGGTAAAGCGTTCACAATTATAGAAAATGAAACTTTATGTAGATCTTGGTTAGCAGTCTCTCAAGATCCCATTACTGGTAATAGTCAGACTATGGCTATATTTTGGGAACGAGTGCTGGTTTATTTTAATTCACAATTGAGCAGTGAATCAAATCGAAACCGTATTTCTTTGTCTCACCGTTAGTCTGTCATGCAAAAGGCCATTAATAAATTATGTGGTTTTCTTGAACAAATTCAACTGAGGCAACAAAGTGGAACAACTGAGGCAGATATGGTAAAATTTATTTGTGTTATTAAATATCAATTTTCTTTTCTAAATATATACTTGTTATTGAAATCTTTATAATTTTTTATTTAGGTCACTGAAGCGAAGCGGATGTATCATGTAATACAGAAAAAACACTTCACATTTGATACATGCTGGGATTTTTTGCCTCGAAGTTGTAAATGGGATGAATTTCGATCAAAAAGAACCACGCAACATGCTAATCCACGTTTCAATCTGCCAACTGAATTTGACGCTTCTCAATCCAACCAGAATAATGCGGTGCACGAACAACCATCTAACACATCAACACGACCAATTGGTACTAAGGCAGCGAAAGAGAAACTGAAGAATCAAACAACGCATGATAGTAGATTTGATGAAATGGCTGCCAACCAATCTAAAATTGTTAAAGTGTTATCAAATATCTCCGCTAGAACTATTGAGCGAGATGAACAAAAGGCGATAGATCGTGAGCAGAAGGTTGCAGAGCGTCGAAGAAGGGCCGAAGATAGGGAGGAACAACTAAAACTCCTATCCATGATGAATGAAAGAGAACAACGAAATGAAGATCATAAAATAATGTTAATGGACATGACAATTTTAAATCATATGCAAAGGGCGTACTACGAAGATCTTCAACGACAGATTTTATTTCGATCAACTAGTAGATTGCCTTGAAAGGTTCTGTATTAGTGGGTTTCATCCATTAGTTTTATTATTTAAAATTATTACATCTAACTTGTATTGGTTAGTTTTATTGGTTTTATGAATTTTTGCCATGTATTTTTGCCATCTTTCAAGGTCAATGTCTAATTGTTGCCATGTTTTTTGAATAGGTAGATCTTTGGCTTGTACTTCAATGTCATTTTTTTTTAATTAACCTCGTCTTCTTTAAAATGATATGTCAATGAATATGCCAATCAGTACTATAACCTGATTTATACCACAAAATCAGAAATGGTTAATGACCTTTTTTGTAGCATTTTCAGAATGTACATAATAATGTCCTTTGTCAAATAGGCATTAAAATGAAAAACCACAATATGAAGTACATATATCAATAGGGCAATGTCATAAGTGAATAGGTTTTAATTATTGTCGTCCTCTTTAACAAACTGACCCAACAAAAGGTTGTTAAAAGAACAAAATACTTAAACTAAAACAAATACATAATGTGAAATACATCAACAGCCATTATGTGGTGGTGGTGGTAGTGGAGGGTAGTAGTGATGGTATATGTCATTTACCCGATGCTCAATCGTATCTACGCAATGCTCAATATCCACAGGGAATTCACCAAATTGTTGAATTAATGAATTCTGGGCAGTGGCAAATGTATCAAACTGAGTACCCAACGAATTGACCTGATTGGCCATTTGTTGTTCCCATTGAACGCGTTCATTATAACGTTGTTCTTCCATGGCCAAAAACTCAGTCCAATATTGAGGTTGGTCAGTTGATGGCATCACATTGGCAGGAGGATCTTGTGGAGCATCATCTGGTGGGACTTCATCTTCTGAATCGTCTGTAGCATTATCACTTCCCATAAATTGGAGGTTGCACCAGCACGAGTCACTATATACTAATTAATGGGTGACCTGATTTTCATCTCCGTTTCATCTACAAGCCGAACCCTGAAATGTTTGAAAATTTTGGTCAACAGTGCCCCAAACAGTAATGACCGGCCCGTGAATTGACCTTGATTTGCGATTATCATTTCTTTCATAATTATGTAACACAAATCCAACTTATGAACAACTTCAAAACAGTATAACAAATAGGTATTAAAATATGGGACCGCATCATGATGTCCTTTTTTTGGAGTGACATTTTCTACAATCCACCGGTGGAGAATCCAAAGATAAGATTTCAAATGTCTTGCTTGTAAACTAGTCCCAGTAAATCTGTTCCGACAAATACTAGTATATACATCAGTAGCATTACCAACGATTTTAGCAAAGTCAACCTCAGTATGAAAATGGATATTTTCATCACCTAACTCAACTCCAATAATGCTTGCCAAAGTAGGAATATCAAACTGTATACCCTTTCCTTTCACATATGACAACAGAGTGAAATTTCCATCTTCTTCTTGAGTACCTCTTAGGTGAACATAAAATAGAGATACCAGCCGCGGATATACCTTTTGGGATAAATTAATTAAATTTTGCCACCCCATTGCTTCAAGTTTACTAACTAATAGTGCATCATATTGAGATGACGAATTTACCCTCCTTCCTGTTACAATCGGTCGGCTGGAGAAGTTTGGAAAGGCTAGTGCATGACTTTCACTGAGAAAATCATCAGTAGGATATGACTGATTTTGACGCTGCTGTTCTTTGCGTCGTGGAGGGTTGGAACTTTCACCAACTTGTGGTCTCGCTCTTTTAGTTCTAGGCATGATGTCAATATCTGTTGAATTTTAATGAATATATGTTACATATGAAAGGTGAATTACAGGTGGCTTGGTGTTCTTTATGAAAACATTAACTTAGAATTGAAATGAATATAGTTCTAATATTACAATACATATTAAAATCGAAAAACATGACCAACTTGTAGTATGCCTACTAACATGTGCATTTTCATATTACATGTTCAATAAACTGAACTGCATAATAAAGTGCATAATTACATATGATGAGATTAAATCAGGTCTGAAATTGTACTCAAATTAACATGACAATAATAATCCCTTGCCAATCCCTTGCCAATTTGTACTAAAATTCAACTTCTGTTTTTGTAAATCCCTTGCCAATTTGTACTCAAATTAACATGACAATAATAATCCTCAGTGTTTGAAATTTATTTGGTGGTGTAATTTAAATCATCATCTTGTTCTATGTGTGAGTGTGTGTGATAGGTAGTGAGAAGCCAAATGTGAACTTGAGGAGAGTTTTTTGAATGCATACTGACATGAGAAGTCAAATGTAATCTGGAGAAGTATTTTGTGAATGCATACTGATATAACACACATGCACTAGCAAATAAAAATAAAAATAAAAATAATGTTTGAATTATCAAGAAAAAACCAATCTCCTGTTATATTTGTTTGGATGTCCATTCTAGAAGGAAGAGAAAGCATAATACTTCAAATATTTTATTGTAATTTGGTTTAGGGAGTACAATCAAATTGACAATGGGGAAAATGCATGAAAGTAAATAAAGAGAGAAACAATAAAAATTATATTTGTTTTTGAGGCATAGTAATGACATGTAGTTTGTATACTGAAGTGCATACTAATTATTAAATCATTTGTCATATTACATGTTCAATTTCCTGAAGTGCATACTGAAACTATAAAATGAGGCATATGCCAGTACATAGAAGTTAGTCCCAGAAAAATAGGCATCATGTTAATTTTTCAAATATTGAACATATAATTTGATTCAAACATGAAGTTTATGCTCCTAAGAAGGTTAAAGTTGAACAAATAAAACATCAAGTTGAATAAATACAACATTAAAATCGAAAAATGACAACATACACATTGAAAAGAAAAGAAAAGAAAAAAGACAGAGGGCCGGTTGACCAACCGGTTGCCCCGTGCCATTCATGTAAAATTTACTCTGTTTCGATGCTGTTTTGGATGTTGCCTGCTTGTGCTTGTTCCTGCCTTTGTTGATGCAGATGTTTCCCTTGGTGGCAGAGGTATGCAATCTGTGGGAGAGGTATTCAGTGAAAGTAGAATGAAGGTGGCAGAGGTATGAAGGTAGAATGAAGGTGGTATGAAGGTGGTATTCAGTGAAAGTGGAATGAAGGTGGCAGAGGTATGAAAGTGAAAGTGGAATGAAGGTATTCAGTGCTGAGAGGTATTCAGATGTTTCCCTTGGTATAGAGGTGGAATGAAGTGGTCTGTAAGTTGATATAGAGGCTCTATTCTTGAGGTAGGTGGTGAGGAAATTAATACTCAACAAGTCAAGGTGTGTGCAAAATAAGGCATGGTAGATGGAATAAAGTCACTGATTGGTAGCTGGTATGTGTTTAATGAAAGGTAGGTGGTTCAAACGTATGCAGTGTAGTGTGTGCACAAATAATTGAACACATTATGATTTGTAGGTGGAATGCATTTATCCACATTTATGTTCAAATAATTGAAGACAAACAGTTGAAGGCTTGTTAAGTGTTTTTTTACTCTGTCTGTCGAATACATGTCAAGTGAGGTAATAAATGAATGAGAAGATCAACATCAGTAAATCAATGGCACATCAATAATGATTAAGACATTATTATGAAATTATGATTATGCACAAATAATGATTATGCAGTACTTTGAGGTTTTATTATTAAATTAAGAAGACTAATTATCAGTTAAGACATAATTATGAAATTATGATTATGCATATCAACATCAGTAATTATCATTTAACACTTAATTATGAAATGTGCATAAATGGATGTGGTATTATGATTTCTGGCACATCAACAAAAATTTGAAGACATGATTATTAAATTTATGTGATATTTGGAGAGGTATTCAGGGTAGAATTGAACACTGCACAATTCTGAATATCAAAGATTGAATCAGACCAACAGTAGCTCATCACATAACTTCTGAATTACTTAATTCATATAGTGCTTAGAAACATGAAGATTACAAACAAGACAACCTTTCATTCCAAAACTTGAAACAAAATTACATGTATTGCTGTGATGAATTTAGTGTTCACCATGAAGATGCCACATATGTTCTACTAAATCATTACGTAGGGCATGATATGCATCCTTATCTCTAATACTTAAATGACGAGACAAAAATGTTTGGAAGTCATTCGTAGGAGTAGAGGAAAGTTGCACTGGTGTGTTGGTTGATGAAATTTCATAATTGAAGTCAGGGTGCTCCTCCCTCTCATCTTCGACAATCATATTATGTAAAATAATACAAGTCTTCATTATGTTGGCAAGCATTTTCGAATCCCAAAAACGTACAGCACCGCCTATAATTGCGAATCGAGATTGAAGGACTCCGAATGCCCGCTCTACATCTTTCCTGGCAGACTCTTGCATCATTGCAACTCTTACATCATTGCAAAATGTTGTCTCTTTGCTCCTTGGAGAGAAGAAATAGTTTGAACCAATGTTGCCCACTGAGGGTATATACCATTAGCAAGGTAATAACCCATATCGTATCTATGTCCATTAATCGTGTAATGGACAGGGGGAGCTTTACCTTGCACAAGATCAGAAAATAAAGGCGATCGGTCCAACACATTCAAGTCATTATGTGAGCCAGGCATTCCAAAAAATGCATGCCAAATCCATAAGTCATAAGATGCTACTACTTCAAGAATAATGGTTGGCTTCTTTTGATGGCCTATATATTGACATTGCCATGCCTTTGGACAATTTTTCCACTCCCAATGCATGCAATCTAAACTTCCCAACATGCCAAGAAACCCCCGAACCTCTCCAATAGCAAGTAATCTAGCAATATCAGTTGGTGTTGGAGATCTCAAATATTCTTCACCAAATATTTCAATCACTGAATTACAAAATTATTGCAAACTTTGAATTGCAGTACTTTCTCCGATACGTATGTAATCATCAACTGCATCTGCTGCAACACCATATGACAATATTCTCATCGCTGAAGTTATTTTTTGTAGGGGAGATAATCCAAGTACATAAGTTGCATCTTGTTTTTGAAGAAAATATGAATTGTGTGCTTGGATTGCATTCAAAATTCGTAGATATAAAGGACGATGCATTCGAAAACGTCTCCGAAATACTATAGGTGAATACACAGGATTTGCAGCAAAATAATCTCCAAACAATCTATCGTGACCCTGCCTTCTATTTTTGTGTATATACTTATGACCTACAACATAACCACCTACCTTCTTTGAGCTATCACTCTTTAGAATCTGAAGCATATTAGTATTGTTCTGCTCATAAGCTCCTAAAAGTGTGACGATATATTCATCATCAGAGGAAGAGGAAGAAGAAGAAGAGGATCAAAATGAAGTCAATATCATGGATTTGAAGGTATTCATGATGCTTTATTTTGTTCAAGTTATGATCGTATCAGTTTTGTAGAGTTGTCTGGCATATGGATAATGGATTTATGTGAGAGCATAATTCATACGCCAGACATATATGTAATGAAGGGAAAAATGGAGGGAAAAAGAAATAGGAAAAAGAATTGAGAACAGAAATGGAGGGAAAAAAAAAATTTGGCTGACCGGTCGACCCGCCGGTCGACCAACCGGTCGCCCCTTCCCTAGTTCACAGAGGTAGGTTCAAACAGTTCAAAAGGGTTTTTTAAAAAAAAAAAATTTTACTCTTACCGGTTGACCCACGGGATTTGATGCACCGTTGGAGCACTCGGTATCAGATTGAGAAAAAAGTCATTTTTTTACTCAGATTTGGTGAAAATTTTAGTTCAGGGTTGGAGATGCTCTTAGAGCTCCAAATGTGCTGATATCATAAGATTCTGTCAACAGTTTAATGGTTGATTTAACAGAATGGGGGTCTTATATATTGTTTGAAAAAATAGGAAAAATTAGTGTAATTTTGAAATTACAAGTGGAGTCCGTGCAATTATGCAAAAATTTAAGGGAGGTAGATGTAATAATTTCATCTAAGTTAGTTGTACCCAAAAGCAACCGTCACCCGCACCATCCAATTAAAAATCATTTTCAACGTAATCTTCATTAAGTTCCTCACATATAAGAGTTGAATAATGAAATAATAATAATAATAAAATAAAAAAAAAAGTTCATTTGGGAAGAAAGTTTTTGACTAAAATAGTCAAATAAAAATAAAAACTTATTTTTTTACATATATATATTTTTTTAAATCTAAAATTTTGAATTTTTTTTTTTAACTTCTCAAAATAGACCAAAATAGGTTAAAATAGCTAATAGTACAAAATATCACATTCAAATTATAATAATTTTATTTTTTCTCTCACAATCATTAAATCAATTAAAAAAATCAATTATCTTCTCAAACACAATTTTTTTAACCAGACTAAAATAGTCAATTAAGTTGCCATTTGGCAATAATTTTTTTTGCCTAAAAAGACAAAATAGACTAAGGCCTCGTTTGAGAATATGTTATTTTAATAACTTTTTTACTTTTTAGCTAAAATATGATATATAAAAAATAATGTGTTTGGAATGACTTTTTAATTTTTTACGAAAAGATGTGCGAAAGTAGAGTGAAAGAAATCTTTGGTAGAGTTTTAGAATTATGATTTGAGAACAGAGTTATATTTTGAATTTGTGAGTTTTAAAATCATGATTTAAGTGTAAAAAATTTATTTAGTTATGAGTTTTGAATTGAGTTTGAAATTTTTTATGTGACATATGATATTTGATTCAAAAACTTACAATTCTTAACTAAGCATACAATTCAAAATTCTATACAAAACTCATAAAAAATTTAAATAAATGCGAAAATATTTTTTATTTAAAATATAAAAAACAACATATGCTAATTTTCCCAAAAAAAAAAGCATCGTTCTGATCAATCGGCCGGACAACTGGATAGTCCAAATTTCAAAATTTAAAACTCCGCCCTGAAACAAGTTTGCAAAAGTGGATGTGAAATTAATTTTTGAAAGTTGTATCCAAACACTACACTCAAATATAACTGTAGAATCATGATTAGAACTGCATACTAAACACAACCTTTGACTTTTTAATATAAGTTATAAGCTCTTTAGTTTTTTTAATAACTTTTTGACTCTTAAGTCAGAAGTGTTGCATGCCAAACGAGGCCTAAATAACCAATAAAATAAAATGTTACGTCTAAATCATAATTATTTCACTTTATTTCTCACAATCATCACATCCAAACCCAAAAAAAAATCAAAATTTCTTCCTAAAAATTAGCCAACTTCCCAAACCAGTCCGTAGTAACAATTGATCTATCTATTATTTACAACAATTTCACTGACTTTCAAAATATTTTGCAAATATTCGAAGCCATTGACAGAGTGGCTGTATTTGTAGTTGAGAGCTGAGATGCAACCACAATTTGATAACATCTTTATTTTATCTATCCACACAAATTGTTTAAGAAGCCTCCCAATGCTCTTCAGATGTAACTCAACTAAAAAAATTGGTTAAAATAACTATTGCCCTAACTAGTTCATTGGAGAGAGTAAAATAGAATGATGCTAATTATAATAGCCAGCTAGCTATGTTAAAAAGCCTCTTGGGGATGCTCTAAGTGGGGATCAGCCAAAGACATTAAAATCTGAAAAGAATGTATGAACCAACAGAAAATCCACTTTAAACTCGTATCAAGCACGTAATGTAAAAAATGTTATATTGCTCATCCCAATTCACAACTAGAATTTCCTCCAAAAATAAATAAATAAAACCAACTAAAGTTTACCAAGGTTTTTTTTCATAATTTAGAACGGTATTGCAGTTGTAGTGACACATAATATGCAAATACTGAAAGAACCAAGACATGGGATGGGAAAGAAAAGAATCCAATCAATGTTGTAGATCCTCATTTTTCCTGCACATGACTGAACTTGTTTCACCAATTTCACATGACCATATGGTAAAAGCTGGCGCAAGGTCAAAAGAATTCAATCAAATATAGAAATATAAAATCAACCTTGTTACATGCATATTTAGGGAGGTTCTTGCGTTTTGATTTTGACCGCATTTAAATAATAGCCATGTGACAAAGCAGTTAAAAATCAAGTCTCCCTGTCTTAGACGACCCAGAACAGCTACCAGACGTGCCATAAGAACTCCCACTTGAACCATCTATGGGGGCTTGATTTAGACATTCTAAAACCAACGACCTCCGTTTTTTCAGCTTCATTGAGAATGTTGTTGCCTCCAGAATAACTGGAACCTGTGGATAAGTTTGAATCAACCAACTGCAATTGAAGCAGATAATTTCCCAACAGATTAAATTAATTATTCTGCGGATCCAAGAATTTGTGGGTAAAAAATTGTATCCTTTCACGCTCGTACAGTTGGCAATGAGTAAAATGAGATAATAGAAAATAACATACGAAGTAGAAGACAGCACTAGTGCAAAACACACTCATCTCCTACCTGGGTGTTAAGACGGGCCACTTTGTGCACATTGAGAAGGCCAACCATGTCCTGATAACCAGTGAGAAGGTTTGCCAACTCCTTGTCCTCATCTGATACAAACCCCGGTTTAAGGATTAACATTCAGATAGTAAACTTAACAATGCTACTAAGCCAATGGCATACCTGGAATTGCTCTGACGGATAGTAAGGTGTCAGCCAAATGCTGCCATCTCTTTGCAATGGATGGTGAAACAAGGGATGGTGGAAAGGTTATAAGAGCAACTGCATTTGAAGACCGAACCATGCTTTTCAAAGATCTGATAAAGGAAAGCATTTCCCATTCCTACAATGATTATGTGCGAAAAAAGATATTGATAATGCTTATTACGATAGCAACAGCAGCCGCTAGAACAAGTGGTAGAAGCCAATCACTAGGATTTCCATTAGCAAAGCATAATGAAGTGGGTTTAAGCCTATTTAAGTAAAAGAAGACATTTTAGAAGGAGAAAGGGCATAAGAGACTATTAACAATGCCAGTAGAATCTCTTCGGGGGTCATTCTGTTTCCCCACACCATTTCTGTTTCCACACTAAGAAGGACATTAGTACACACTGCATTTCTTTTCGTTCAGTAGTTCATAACCAGACCATTTTTTGTTCACTAGTTCATATCTGAACCATGGGTTTTCATTCAGTACTAAGTTTCTAAATCTAAGGGTGTAAAAATTTTTTGGTGTGTGAACTAATAAAATGTGTGAATTGAGAAAAATTGGCGCATGGAAGTAGAATCTCCCATCTCTTTGCCACTAACCATATTGGAATATTCACATTGTGGAGCACAGAATGATTGAATGGTGATGCGACCAGCAGATGTTATGTTGCCATCAAATCTGGGAACAGAAGAAAGAGATGGTTAGAACAAAAATCAAAACAATTACTTAGATAACCCAAACAGATTCCAACCACCAAAAGCAGTTGAGCAAGATGGATTTTTTGAAGGAAAGCATGTAATTTGTGAAGAGATATGAGGGATTAATTGAATCTGTTCCCCAATAAATATAAAGAAATATCCATTCATGTTTTCACCTTCTCCTTAAATCAAAAGTGAATCATAATTTGACAGAAGCTGCAAAACACGTGAATATTGTTTTCATACTACCTTTAGCAGGTCAAATGCATATGGGAGACCATAAGAAACTAAGAATTTTTGGCCTTGTTTGGTTTGTGTTTCTCAAAAAAATTTGGGAAAAATTCTCTACAAATAAGTTTTCAAAAGTAGTAAAACCAAACAAATTTTCCTAAAAATTTTTTCCAAAACTTGTTTGGTTTACAAGTTTTCTAAACAAATCTCTCTCTCATACACATCAAATCAATCACTTTTTCCAAAACTCTCTCTCAAAATAATTTTTCAAAACATCTTTTGAAAAAAAACCAAACCAAACAAATTTTCGTACTTTTTATCTCAAAACATGTGTTCTCAAATACAAACCAAACAAGCCCTTTATTTTTTTATTTTTTTTATATATAAAATTACATTAAAAGAGGCACCAAGGGTGTGCAACCCTTGTACAATAGGATCTATACCATCTATATATCAAATGTCTACTCAAAGGCCTCTAAAAATCCAAAATTTGGATCAAAGACAGGTAAACAGCTCCTGAATCCATCTTGAAAGTAAGCCGATTCTAGCTTGAAAAGTTTGTCCAGCATATGAAATATAATAGAATTCAGCTGAAGTACAAATGCAAAATCAAGGATTGTAACCTTCAAATAGGAGTGGTGACTTCCATCCAAAACAATTGAAGCATAGTAGAAAGTGAAGCATCTTTGTTCTAAATCCTTTCAATTTTCCATGTTTTAGAATTGATGGGGAGTTTGACACACAAAAAAAGGAAGGAATATTTTTCCTGTCTCCCCTGAAACTGCTTTTTTGATATAAAAGTGCATCTCACTAGATTCTCTCTTCCATCATTTTTTTATTTAACAAAATTGTACAATTTCCATCATCATAACAGATTACATAAGACTGCTAAGTTGGGGCAACCACATACAATTGGAAGAACAATTACACAAGACTACTGAGTTGAATAACTATGTGGCAGTATCTTAATTCAACTGCTTATGCATGCTGAAACTTTCATGCCAGGACAGGACGATGTAGAATGGTTTAGGGCAAGAGAAGAGAGAGAAACAAATTGGCCACAACAGATATCTCATTTCAATCTCAACAAAGAAATGAAAACATAACTCTTTGTGCCAAACCCCTAATTATATTAAGAAACTAGTTCCTCAAATATTGGAAACAAACTCAAAATTCCTTACTAATAATTGTCTAAATAATAATGTAATTTGCCAATTACATTTATTGGCCCAAAAATTCTTCGGTTCACGCGATGGAACCACGGGCTTCACCTTAGGCTTCCAAAGCGGATAATGGGCCTCCAAAGACTTAAGGGTTGCACCATCAATTCTCCTACACTAAAAAGAACTCAATTCCAGCAAGTTAGCAGAACGACCAAGAATTCCATCCGATCAAGGAGTCGTCGGTGGGCACAAATAAGGGTGTATTCTGTAGAGCCATCAAAGAGTAGATGTTAGCACGGACCGCATGAGTGACATCACAGTCTCAAATCTATGCCTAAAGAATATGACGGAGCTTAAGAGGCAAAACGTCACATATGACCATCTCTTTGTGCTTGTCAATGTTGAATCCCACGTGACACTACTAGTTGACCTTGAGTTTAGTATTGAGGAAAATTAAGTTCAAGATACGACTCCATTTTCAAACCCAATTTCTTCACGGCTTCTTCAGACACAACATTAGCACAACTCCTAGTATCAATCACCAAAGAATACACTTGATCACCACAATTCACCCTTGTATCAAAAATCTTAACTCTTTGTAGCTTTCCAGGTTCTTTTATGGCTTGTTTTGTAGAAGCCAACAATGGTCAAGAAGCCAACAATGGTAAAAAAATACCAAACATATCAATGATATCATTAAGGAGATCGTCATAGGATTCTGAATCAAGGGCATCAACAACCTGTTCATCAAGCTTTGTTTCTTAGATTCTTTTACCCCCCAAAGTCTTCATTTTCAATAACTGGTTTAATTGGCACATTAATCTTGGGAGAAAGGCAATCTTGAGCTTGATGTCTAAAACGTGGACAATTAAAACACTAGGACTTAATGTTATCTCAATAAAAAGACTGAAAAGGACTTGGAGTAGAATGGGAAGGCCAATCAGGAAGTTTTCTACAAATGAGTTTCACAAAAGTCTTCCATTTGAAATGCTACTCGGATTGCATCTTCTGTATGTAAAGTCTATTAGCAGCCAATCCACCAAAGAGTTGCAGATTGAGTTGCGGATTGAACCTCTAACAGTACATGGAAATCATGACATCTTCAATCCATGAGAACTTGGACCTGGTAGCCAAATTGTAAAACAACCTACTATAGTTATCCATGGACTTAATCCCAATTATGTCTAGCTTCATTATGTTTTCGCTGATATTTAGCCCACCAAATTCTAGATGTTCACTTCAAATTTTCTCCCACAAAAAAATTATTTTCTTTCCTCTATCATGTGATACCGACAAAAAAAAAAAAACCTCTTTAAACTACCTAACCAATCAAAAAATACCTCTAGATTGTGGTCCCCATTAAAATCTGGAATTTCTAATTTGGCACTCTTGTCTTGTCTACATCAGACAAGCGAGGATCCTCTAGTATTCGTTCGCGTTCATACCCAACATCATGAGGCAGAGAAGTACCCAAAGGTCCAATAATCATACCCTTATCCTTTCCTTTGTCTGTCAAAACAAGACTTATTCAAAGGTAACTTGCACTTGGGTCAATGTCATCCTCAACTCCCTGTGGAATTGGTATAGGGATTCAACTTTTGAGTTTAACTCAGTGTTGGTCAACGTGTCTTAGGAAAGGAGGTTTTGGGCTGGGTGGAGCTCAATTTTGGGCTTAAGTGATAAGGTTTGGACCTAGTAAATTTGATTGTGGGTGATGTATGTGGGTTGGTTTGGTGTTGAAGCCTTTGGTTTTTTAAAAATATAATGGATTGGGGTAAGCTTTAAAAGTTAAGGACAGGTTTTGAAGGAAAAGGATTTAGGTTGGGTTGTTTGAAGGATCTGGGCTGGTTCTTGAGATTAAATGAATGGGTTCTGGTGGGCTGATTGGTTCGGTATCAGGTTGAGCTATTAGTTAGGCAAAAAGGTTGGATTGTAGGAAATACACTGGGATAATAGTTTTGGCTATAAAGCAGGGTTGGACCACTGAGGGGTTAGGTTGGGGCCTCAAGTTTTAGATTTATGGTCCGTTTAAGGCTGAAGGGGGGAGGGCCAAACCAATGGGTCTTGAAACTCTACTTGTCTCGTCTTTTGTCGTCATTCTCAATGAACAACGTTGGTGTGATGCTGACCTACAAACTACAGCAAGGACGACGAGACAGGAAAGCTTTGGTTGTGATCTATGGCAGTGATGAAGGAAGCTTCGGTTGTGATCTATGGCGGTGATGATGATCTCATCTTTTATTGATGATGACGACAGCAAAAGAAACAATGGGAAGATGTTGGAGGACTCTACTGATGTTGACAATGACAATGGCTGACAATGAAGCTGGTACCATTGTCAATGACGATGGCCAACTCTTCCAACAAAAAAGGATCCATATAAGATTTGATACCAAATTGATGTAGAATGGTGGGGGCAGAGTGAGTGAGAGAATTGGCCATAGCCAATGTCTCCAATAATTAAATTATGGGAAATTTAGTCAAAACCCCTCAATTGAATCCTTGTTTGGTGAAAATAACATCCCAATTTATTTTTCTTCATAAACCCCCTAAGGTGAAAACACATAACTGAATAAGAACAAAGTAAAATATCTCTTTTTTTTTTTTTCCTTTCTTGGACAATATTGTCAGAGTAACATATTACTGTGAACCAGAGTAACATATTACTATCAAACAAAGTAACGTGTTACTGTTACTGTTTACATTAATTTCAACAGTAATAAATTTTTTTTTTTTTTAAATAATTTCAGAGTCAACAAGAATCTTATTTGATAGATCTTGATGAGAGAATTCTAAAAATATTCATTTTATTAAAAACTGATATATACATTAAAAGTTATATTATTTTAAAATTTAATATTTTGATAATAGTGAGATTTGTTGGATTTTTCAAGAAAAACTTTTGTGCTTGTCCTTAATGCATTAAAATTTTATTATAATGGGATTTTGACCAAATCCTCCTAATATTATAACCAAAACTCACTATTACAATGCCAAAGACCTAACATTTATAAGCCAAACCCTAATTAAATTAAGAAACTAATTCCTAACATTATTAGAAACAAAATCAAAATTCCTTATTAATATTTATGTTTTTAAATCTAAATAATAAAATTTACCAATTACATTTATTGGGCCGAATGTCTTCAGTCCACATAATGGACCCACATGCTTCACCTTATGCTTCTAAAGTGGATAATGGGCCTCCAAATAGTTAAGGACTGCACCATCACAAGAAAATTAAGAAGAAAATGCAACAAACAAATCGGAGAAATTAAGGGGCAAAAATATTGGAATATGTTAGATTTCAAGTTTTACCTCATTAAAGTTATGTGAACAAAGACCAACAAAGCAAAACTTACAGAAAGTGAATAAATGAGTTAGTTTGACACTTCATATCAAAACAAATAAATGAGCTAGTTTGACGGTTCAGAGAACCCAGATAGGTGTATCAAAGACCTGCAAGTGTAGATATTTGATCAAGAAAATGAAAGTACCTAGGAAGTTGGGCTAAAAATGCTGAACAACAGTCACGGAAAGTGGCAAGATTCTGAGAACCTTGAAGGCTAATGCAATCAATGTGCTGACCGCTAAGAAAGTGCCTCTCTAGAGGCTTCCGCAAATCAAAATCATTGCAGTACTCAGGTTTTCCATCTGCATTAGAAAGAAGAAAAATATATATATATATATATATTTAAAATAAAGGAGCTTCATTATAGTTGCAAAATCCCCAGCTAGACCTCCATCATTTGCAAATTATCAACATAGATTATCTTTTAGGAAAAATAACTTGAATGATGATTTTGAAAGTACACGAGGGCACGAAATCATGAATTAAACCACATACAAAGTTCAGTCTAGCAAAAACTGTGTAGAAACTATTTAAAGAGCATGTGGAGCTACACCTGATACATGAAAAGTCTACGAGGTGATTATTGCTTACTCTACATGATCAGTGATGGAATTAGAGTGCACAACTATTAGTAGAAAAATATCAGTCAATACATTAAAGCTAATTTTTAGGGTGCTGATACTCTTTCTTTTCTTTTATTCTTCTTCTTCTTCTTCTTCTTCTTCTTCTTCTTCTTCTTTTCAAGATGCAGTGTTTGCCATTTATTCAATCTTTTTCCAATATCCAGTCTTTCCCCATATTAGCTTACACAACGAATGAAAGTAATAGATCTCACTTAAAATAAGGCTTCAATGCTTATCATTGTGTATTGTAACTGAATATTTTACTCACTAGTCAAAAATTTGTTTTTCTTGCCCCAACAACATATGTAGATTGAAGACAATACCACGTCACTGTAGAAACTACCACATTGTCCTTTCAAAAACTTTCTTATTTATGCAGGTGCTCAATTACAAAATAAACATCTTTCTCCTACTCAACAAATCTTACAAAACTACCTTAGCAATAATTCTTGCGAGTCAAAGAGAAAGCAGCCTAATAAGTAAAGGAAAACACAATTCTAAAGAAACATACCTTTCTGACCCTCAAAATTTTGCTGATGTTCCCCAAAGTATTTCCTATATTGCCATGCTATCCTTAACCCCTTCTCCTGCAATTAACAGAACATATTATTTACAGTCTTGATATTTCCCAAAATGCCAATTCTCCAAATAAATGTATAAATGTGTGCATGGGTGAGTGCACACCAAAGTTCTAAAAGGCTTTATTGAGGCTTTCATTGAGGCTCACCTCGAGGCAAGGCATATACAAAACACATTGACGCTTGATTTTTAGGTGACTCATGAATGACTTGCGCATCACAATATGAGGCATGCACCTCAGGTGCATCTTCTATGCCTTTTGTGAATAAGCATGAGGAGTACACATATGAATGCTTATCTTGGGTTGTTGTAAAACTTGGTCTAATACAATCTTGATATTTCCCAAAATGCCAATTCTCCAAATAAATGTATAAATGTGTATACAGGTGAGTGCACACCAAAGTTCTAAAAGGCTTTATTGAGGCTTTCATTGAGGCTCACCTCGAGGCAAGGCAGATACAAAACGCATCGAGGCTTTGATTTTTAGGTGACACTCTCAAATGGCTTGCGCATCACAACCTAAGGCATGCACCTCAGGTGCATCTTGTACGCCTTTTGCTAATAAGCATGAGGAGTACACATATGAATACTTATCTTGGGTTGTTGTAAAACTAGGTCTAATAAATGGTTTAAACATATAAAAAAATAAAAAAATACGATCCTGTTTTGTAACTATATTCTATGGCAAAAACTAAAGTAAATAACCAACCAAGAAAAAACACAAAGCTAAAACTCAAGTAAGAATATTGTTTTCACCTTCTATGAGAGTAAACTTTCTTCTCTACAGTGAAATGTTCGACGCCTTGACGAGCAAAGTATTTACACCTTTATATTTAATTTTAAATATTTTTTAAAACTTCAAAATTTTCTTATTTGTTTACTAAATATAAAAGTTCGAAATTTGAAATGTTTACACCTCGATGCCTTCAGGCTTAAGCCTCGCCTCATGAGGGGTAAAATGTCTCCCATTACATTTGACTTTAAAATCTTTGGTGCACACTCATGTTTCGCAGAGAGAGGATAAAGGGCTACCTGTTCTATGTCATGCTCACGAGATTTATCATCTTTAGATAATATTGGATTGGGCAAAGTACCAAGAAAAGCTCTTGGTTCTCTTGAGGGACTAGCATAAAGAAGAGGTTGGTTATGAACCAATCCTTGAGACATGAAATTTCTCAACAGAAGCATATGATGAGGTGCTTCAGTGTCTTCCATCACCATAACTAGGCTTCCCAAAGAGAACCCACCTCCTAAAATCTCTACAGCATGACATATGAAAAAGAAAAATAATTAGCAAACACACGACGCAAAATGGTTGCACCAGGAAAATGGCAAACAAGATAATCAATTTACGTTTTTTTGTTCATCATTAGTAACTCCAAAGCAAAATGGGAGTAAGGGGGGTTACTGTCGAGATCTGGTATTCCGGACGAAACAAAGATTGTTCCATTTGGTCCATACTTGAGTCCAGGGACCTGAGAAGTGGGTGCAACTGAAATGTTGCGAGAGAAACTACTCGACCGAGTCTTCGTTGCAGCCATGGCAGCAACAATGTTTTCTACCACACCTAGAGAAAAGAACATGAATAACAGAATTTGTCAAAACTTTGTTGTAAGGAAAACAACAAACAACAACAAGAATTTAATGAGAGTTCTTAACCACTGTATCTACCCTATTCTGGTATATTGTGATTCAAATATTAAATTAGAAACTTAAACATTGCAACCCACCAAAAATATTAAGAGATAAGTAAAGAGTAAAGAAAACGAGGTAACTTAGCTTAAGTTAGAACCTTTATTTATTAAGGTCATTAATCACAGCAAATAGGTATTGAGTCAATACTTTCACTGCCAAAAGAAAAACAGCCCAATGGCTATATAACACAGAAATGATGCATACTTCTGATTCCAAGCCCAAGATTAAAGAAAGGGAAAAAAAATTAAGGAAAACCTGAACAGATGCAATTGAACTACAAATAATAATAATAACAATAATTGATCAAAGAAATTGCCCAAATATGGTGATGGAAAAGAAGTAAACCAAAGAGGGAACAAACAAAACAAGTTATTCACATAGAAAACAAAACATGAGCCTATTATTTCCCTTATTTCAGAACCCAACCCACCCCCAAGAGTGGGTTAGGCAGAGAGGGGGCAGTGAGGAGAGAGAGAAGAAAGAGAAAGGGGTTCGGTGAACTGTAAAGAGAGGGAAGAGAGAGGGAGTTCCATACCTTGATGATGGTGCGGTGCAGAGATTTGCTGCAGAGACGATGCTTTCAACTCTACTGGTTCTGGCGTTCGGATCCTCTCTTCTAGACTGATTTTCCTGGAGAATTACTCCCAAACAACGTCGTTTTGGTGAGTGAAACAAAACAGAACAAAACCAAAAAAAAAAAAAAAACTCGAGTTTCATTTTTATAACAAAATAAATTCTTAATTTTTTATTTTATTATTTTTAAATTGAATTATTTGTCTATTTTGTTAAGTAAAGTTGATAGAAAAATAGATATTTTAGTCATTAAACTAAATAAAAATAAATATTTTAAATATTCTATATATGAATAATGCTATATGCATTAATTAGTATACATACTAGTATACCAACAGATAATGTGGCATAATTTTAGAGGTTTTGAGTATTTGTAATTTGTATAATAAATAGGGTCATTAATGATATCATAACACTAGTTGGTACACTAATATGTACACTAATTGGTACATATAGCACCACTATTTATATATATCTACATTGAATTTAATGATAAAATAGTTATCCTCGATCATGTATTGATGTTTTGCTACTCCAACTCCACCTTCCTCCACTTCAAAGGTATTTCCATCCAAGATCGTGTTAGTGATGTTAGGTAAAAGTGTGCTAGTGATGTTGGGTAAAAGTATGGTGACGTCAGTGTTATTATCATCAATAATCATGTAGTTGATAATTTGTGGCTCCAACTCCATTATTCCTTCATTCAAATGTCTCACCAATCAAGCTTTTTAACATAGCTCTCTTCGAAGACGACTTAATTTATGTTTTGATCTGTTATCAAGAAACCCTAACCAATAAAAAGAGAAGTTTTAAATAACATAGAGAAATTTCTCTTCTTTCAAAACAATGAAATCTCTATTTTAAGACATTAATTTTCAAATTTGTCATTGTGGAACCCTTGTTTGAAAATTTTACTCCTAAATATGAAAATAGGAAAATAATTTTTGTATGCCCTTTAATTTTGCACTTTTTAGTGATAAGTGAAAATTCCATCATATTGAAAACAACAAAATTTCACTATGTTGAACATAGTGAAACTAGTCAAATTTCACTCTAACTAAAATTATTAAAAGCAGAGAAGATAATGGAAATTTGTGACAATATACATTAACTAAAGTAAAATTTTACTCTCCTATAGTAAAATTACAAGGAGAATTTCACTTTTAACATCTACCACCACAACTTTTTAAAGTCGACACCATAAAACACTTTTATCAATCATCTCTCTGAAATCTGATTGCCATTTTAGTAAATCAGAGGAGGGTTTGAAGTGTGAGGTTCAAATTGGATAGATTGCTACTATTTGTCCAATTCTAGAAAGACGTAGACTATTGATACAAATTGGAAGTCAATGATAAAAGTGAGAAAAAAAAAATTTTAAATGGGCAAATTGTACTTCAATAATATTGGGATGACTGTCTCTTTTTACTATATTTGGTATACCACCTTATGTGACACATGTACATAAAGAGTCCTATATGAATACCATTAATATTCAACAAATATATGTGCCCCATATAAAAGGGTATGTAAAATAGGATAAAAGAAAATGGCCATTCTAGTATTCTACATTATAATTTACCATGATATAATGAATTTTTTTTTTTTTTATTACATTCATGTGCTTTTTTTTTATCTCCTGTTTTTCAAAAAATGATAAGGTGGTTGGTAGCAGCAATTGAAAACCTTCATGAACAACAATTGAGGAATTGTTGCCTTCGGCCAAAGAGGATTTTTTATTTATTTTTTATTTTTTAAAAATAAAAATAGCAATCATTCTTGGCAGGACCACAATGAAGAGAGAAATGTGAAAATAAATAATAATAATAATAAAAGTAGTGTGATTTTTTAATACAAAAAGAAGTGCTACACTACAGCCACAGAATAAGTTTCTCTCCTCAGTATTTTAAATGATGTACAAAACAGAGTTCCAAACCTTTGGGTCCAAGGACATCTTCTATGTTTCTATGTACATCACCCAAAATAATTTGGATCAGAAATTTGTTGCAGACAAGAATGTGGAATGTGCATTTGTACTATAACACCAAGCTAACTCCATTTTAACATTTTTCTCAGTTTATAAAATCACTCTTCACCTCTAAAAAAAAGTAGTAGAGGCTGAGAAAGTTGTAACAATTAAAATCTAAAAATTAAAAAAGGGAAAAGAAAAACACAATTATTACATAATTTTTGGCCCCGAAGACAACGAAATGCAAATTGGCTTTTCTTGCTTTTTAATTTCACCTTGACCAAATCCTTTTCTTAGTGTCCCTCTCCTTGATTCCTTGAACCTCATCCCTGCTGGTTCGGCTATGAGTGAATGGCCTTTGACTTTGAGAAGTTGAAACAGGCTTGACTGTTCTTGTAATCCTAGCAAATGGTTTAGGGGGGTCTGATTTCCTGCCCTTATTATCATTTAAGGAAGTTGATAAACTGATTTTGTTTTCTGTTTCACCATTCCTGGATGATTTCCTTCTTCTGTCATGAAGAGATTTGTTCCCTTTCAGCAATGTGGACCCCTGACTCTCTTTCTCTCGGCAGTTTATCGAGTTTGAGCTCCTAAGAATATGGTGGTGCTCAATATCATTCATCGTCTCATATCTTACATAGCATTTTCCTTCAAGTGGAGTGGCTCCTAATGCATCAGTGGAATCCAAACTTAGCTTGAAACCAAACTTTTGTTCTTGCTCTCTCAACTTATCTTCAAGCTCCTTAATCTGCCATTACATATGGAACACAATTTAACACTTCTAGCTTCTTGCATAGCAGCTCGAAAATCAACCAATTCGAAAATCATATAATGGCACCAGAATTCCAAAGATTAATTCAGAAAATAAGGAAGCCAATAATTTTGACAAAGTTCACAAATCTGATTATAAACTGAGGAAGAAACTACCATTCACTGATTATTCAAATAAAAACATAAAAGAAAGGGCCGTTCAAATTAGAAACAAAATTATTGAAAAATTGTGGGATAGATTGTGTATTGTGGATAAGGGAAGCAGAGAAGTCAAGGCTTTTTTAGCATGTTGGGCTAGTAAAAAAAGATGTTTATAAATGAGTTTAGCTGATATTTAAATGGATGTGTGAGGATGTGGGGAAAGCCTAAATTGACATGGGATGTGGAAGTAAAAAATAATATGAATTTATTTGATTTAAATGAGTATTTAGCCCTTAACAGAGCAGAATGACTAAAAATGATTCTCACGTAGCTGACCCATTTGATTGAGAGACAAGACTTTTTAGTTTGGTTCGGTATCTTTCATTTTCCTATTTATCAATGTTATATTATTATTATTTTTACAACTAGGACACATGCATTTGTGTCGAACCAGGTACCAGTACCACACAACAAAAAGGTTGGTGGTAACTGGTAATTAAAGGCAACTGCCCACGCAAAAACTATGGGTGCAATATCAACCAACTGATTCACTTACTAATCCAATAACAAAATAAAGAGAGGAAAAAGAAAGGCAAGACCTTTTGACGAAGTAAGGTCTCTGAGTTCTGTTCGTGCTTCTCTTTCAGTTTCATCTCCAGTTCCTTGACCTGAAACAATATTGTGTATTAACTGTTACTTTTAACTTATCATTTACATATAACTTACAAAAGTTACAAGAAAAACCTCTACTCATAAGTCTAGACAACCTTATGTTGAAGGGTAACAGAGTAAGACTCAGACTGTCTCACTTGTTCTTTCAATCTGTTTTCAAGATCCTTGACCTGCTTGACAAGTTTAAAAAGCAGTTAGTTTCTGCTTGTCGTATTTTATTTTTATTTTTTTAAATTGAACTGATCTTTGGTAGATCCCCCAGAAAGGGCTTTTCAGCCGCCCTACATAACTATCTACCTTAATCAACACATCTAATTGGCCATGAATTGTATGAAAGAAAATAACAAAGGTTCAACACAAAAACCTGTTGGTAAGTCGTAGATTCTGATTGCTCTAGCTCTTTAAGCTTGTTCTCCAGCTCTTTTACCTTCAGCAGATGCAAGAGATCTGATTAACACACTTTTTGACAAGTTATAGGAACAAAAGAGCATCAATCAATTTGCTTGAGGCAAAAGCCACCTTTTGTTGAAGACAAGTGCAAATTTCATCCTTCCCCTTCAATCTCTCTGACAAATGCAAGACTTGCTTTTCTGACTGGTTCAGTAATGCTATCTGGCCTTCAAGGTCTTTAATCTTCTCTTGTTGGTTTTTGTAACACTGATCCTTGCCTCTGGCCTTACTTTCCAAGTTTTGTAAACTATCCTCTAGCTTCCTCAGGGATTCATCTTTGAATCTGGATTCCTGCCTTGCTTTATCAAGCTTCAAGGAAATCCATGAAAACAACAGTCAAATGAACTATAGCCATTAAGAAAAAGGTACATTTTCACATAAAAAATATATATATATGAACCAAACATACCATCATTTTCATTTTCTGAAGCTCACTTGTGTCAATTTGCCTTTTTGCAGGACCCAACTCAACCCCTCGAACCCGGGTCGCAAAGTTCAATGAACTCAGAGTCTCATTCAAGTCTTGCTCTGAAGGGCTGATTTGCACAAACATTAAGGTTTTAGAGTCACCCCCTGCAACAAATAACATGTTTAGTATGCAGTAAAAGCAGACCAGTTGACCCTTTCAAGGATAATGTTTCAAGTGTGCTCAAGGGAAACTTGGCCTTTCTATAATCTGATGCCCATATAGTGACTGGTTCAATTTGGATTCAAATCGAAGACGATGAGACAAAAAATGTAAAACTAAAGAATTGGTTAATTGGTGTATTATCAAGCAAAAACAGACAGTTGACCTTTTCAAGGACAATGTCTCAAGTGCTCAAGGGAAACTTGGCCTTTGTAATCTGATGATATGCCCAAATGACTCGTAAATCAGACTTCCAATCAAAGGTGACAAAACAGAAACTAAAGAATTGACGTACCTAATGAATGCTGAAGTAGATGTGTCAGCTTAGAGTTCCTGGAATAAATAAAAAAAAAATAATAATAATCAGATGCCGGTGCAGTTGCTATTCAACGAAAGAGGGCAAGTGATTTTTATTAAACTGGACCTGTATGGAATATGACTACTTTTAGTTGCTAAAGCTGATATCACATCTCCAAGAGCTGAAAGTGATCTATTGATATTTTGAGCTTCCTTGAGGCGATCCCCTTGCGCATCAGTTTTTGCAAGCCTCTCACTGCCTGCCAAATCCACAAGCCAAAGCTTGCTATTGGTGCATTCACCATTCATCAAGTTTTTTGCTCTTACCATTATACAAAGCATGCTGAAGAAAAGGGAAAAAAACATCATTAATATAAATTGAAACAAGGAAAATGGAACAAAACATACCAATAAGTTGAGTCAAGTAACATAGAACAAATAAAAGCTATGTACCAATGAGAACGGCTGCTATGCTCATTCACGTTATTGGATCCAACAGCCCTGGCACTGCTTCCAGCCTGCAGTACACTCCAGATTTGGCTTGTGTTCTCTACTTTGGCTTCCACTATTCCAGGAACATGATGAAACCCTTCAGAAGCTTGTTTTATCTCCAACCTAACATGTCCCAAGAATAGTATAATTCAATAGGTTGTGTCATAATTTAACTCAACCGAGCTAGGTTGCCTTCCCACAGAGTTAAACATTTGAATGAAGTCACAATGCCTACAAAGGTTTACTAGCTTGGTTGAGTTATTCTACATGCATGCCTGCAAAGAAATGATAAGAGTAGTTTTACTTCTTTGATGTTGGTGATGCAGCCAGCAGGTCCCTAATTTGCTCATTGTAGACTTCAAGCACGCTAACAGATATATTGTAGGTAAAAGTTTCTCTCCTTTCGTCAGCAATTTTGAACAATTCCTCTAGAGTCCTATAATTGACACCTCGGTTTTGCTCAGTACCCTCCATTGTGAACGTTTTTCCTGTTCCTGTTTGCCCATAAGCAAAGATACAGACATTATAGCCATCCAACACTGACATCACCATTGGAGAAGCGTCCGCAAACACATCAACTGTCAACAGAAACAGAAAACTCCTTGTGTAAGTAAAAATTTGAAAGGTGTTTATAGTGTATTTCATGGCATAGTAATAGTGCATAAAACTACCTTGATCATCTTTTGGTGTGTAAACGCGGTCGAATTTAAAGGTCTTTTTGGTAGAACCACCACTCAGGATCCCAAGTTCCCCATCCTTGGCTGCATCGAAGTCCACAACTGTTTCATGCCCAGCTGTGACCTCTGCCTTGCTTAAAGGACGGCATCGGCAAAATACCCTGATGTTTCCTGATATTCATTCAACAACAATAATTAGAACCTTTAAGTTGTGAATGTAACATAACATATTATTGAACTATGTAGGATGATAAACACTGAACATGCCTTTTGCCTCCTGAACTTCGTTATATAGTTTCCTTCTCTTTCTTTGCTCTTCACTGTACTTGACTTTTAGATCCTCACACTGTGCAACTGCAAAGTGATTCGATGCAGATTTATAATGCATGCTTCAAATGCCAAGCCATAGAGTTATGTAAAACTTACCCAAGGACTGAACTGCGAAAACCATTTTATTCATTTCAGGAATTGAATCAGAGCATTCATGTGCTTCGTGAGAGAGTTGAGAATGCTCCTCTTTCATCACCTGTGCGACAGATAAATGACATATATCAGAACTTCATACACATAAAAATAAATTGAGAATATGAAGGTATAAAAATTATGTCCATGTTTCATAAGGAGATTACATTAATTACCTTTATCTTCTCCTCTAAATTATTAACTGCGGCAACCCAAAACTTCTTATCATGCTCATACCTGCTAGAAATATTCCTCAGCTTTTCAGCTTGTTTCTCCACAGTTTCATCTAAAAGAAAAAGGGAAGAAAGAAGGAATCAGAAGGGTTCCACTGACATGGGACAAAAAAACCAGCCTAAAAAAATGGTTGCATGAATCTTAACTCTTAAGCATGGTCCCCACTATGTCTTAGAATAATCCTGGGTAGACCTGCTCAGAAGATGTGTTTGGTTTGTGTTTTGAGATAAATTTTCAAAAAAAAATTTGGGGAGAGAGTTTAGAAATTTTTTTGGTTTGTTTGGTTGTAAATTTTGAAAATAGTTTTGGAGTTTGGGATGATTTGATATTTTGTTGTAGTTGAGTAAATGTATGTGAGAGAAAAAGTGATTGAGAAGTGTAGAGGAGAGAGAAAAAAAAAGTGATTGATTGAAGTGTAGGAGAGAGAGTGATTTTTGAAAAAAATTTCAAAAAATTTGAACCAAATGAAATTTTGAAAATTTTTCTCAAAAATTGTGTCTTGAGATACAAACCAAACAAGCCAACTATCTTACAACAACACAGCCCATGAGCTTTTCTTATAGCACAACACCATTACAATGGTTAACTGCCCAAAGCTTTTTTCCTTTTACAGGCAGAAAAGAGGCTAGTAGCAAACATAAAATAGGAAAACAGCTACTAGACAGACCAAACTATAGGCCAACTTTTTGGAAGATCTATATGCAAGCCCAAACATTGACTGAGAAAATCCTTCTTTGAAACTATTTTTCAGATACCAAAGCTATTTTAAGACCATAAAATTCATACCCAATTATCAGCTCACTGCTCGAACCCAGCAGCAGCAACACACAGCCGGCAGCAACCAGAATGAAGAAGCAGCAAGCAACCAGCAACCAGCAACCAGCAACCAAGAAAAGAAAAAAAAAACAAAAACAAAAACAAAAAACCCCCAAAACGACGTCGTTTTGGGGGGCTGCCGGGTAGGGCGGCCGAGGATCCGGATTCCTATATGCAAGCCCAAACATTGACTGAGAAAATCCTTCTTTGAAACTATTTTTCAGATACCAAACATATTTGCTTGAAATAAAAGAAAAGCTCACACTAAACCCAATTTAATCCCATCTTACCAAGAGAGTATGTCTGGAACAACTTATTGTCAAGTTCCATCCTAACCTTCTCTAGCTGCTCATTTGCAGCAGTTAAGGACATCCAGGCCTGATAACATTCATCTGTCTTGCGTTGGCACTGGGTACTCAGCTCTTGTATCTTCTTCTCATACTTGGCAGTTGATTTCATTTGCATGACTTTCTTCTACAAATCTCAAACAATTCAAATATGAATTTAGCATATCACAGAGCTTTAAAGTCATAATTCTTCATCTTGACCTTTAACATACCTGAGCTGAAGGAACATCTATCTCAGCAGCACAGTTGCTGCATACAAGATATTCATGTTTCACCTGTAAAGCTGTAACCAAGTCAACAAATAGGCACTATTAGAAGTTGCAAGAGAAAGATATGCACTGTTGACTATAAATTTTTACGGAAATCATAAAAATAAACATTTAAGAACATAAAACAACCTGACGACTTTGATGCTCTCCTTATGCAGATCCCACTAACCAAAGGACTTCCATTGACCCCTTCAAACCTTATTACAATCAGGCCATCATCCTTAACAGAAACCCTTGAATCAACCAACTGCAATGGCTTGTTGGCTCCAACAATGGAGAAGATATCAAAGTCCGACAGGATCTACAATATGTACATATAAAGAAAATTCTAAGTATAGAGTTCTCAAGAACATGAAGTAATCAAAATAATGTTACTTGTGTAATTGACTTGCCTTCTCATCCTGCATGAATACATTGAATACCCTCATTCCTTTAGGCCCATAAGTGTTTATAATCTCTACGAAATGAAGATCAACATAATATTCTCCAGGAGGAAAATTGTCAAACCGATAACAGAAATTTCCTAGTCGTGCTGACCGGTATATAAATGCATAATCTCCGCCCCCAGTTATGTGCTCGTCAGTTTGGAATATATCTCCTCCTTGAAAACAGGTATCAGCCATAAACCTTATAGTGGAATCTGCTTCTATTGCAGCATCCCCTCCAGCATTCACAAACATCAGGACTTCCTCTGATTCAATAAACCAATCTAACAAAGTAAACACTTCAATCCCCATTTAGAACCTAACAAGTAGAAGGAAAAATTTTATTTCAAAACTAAAAGCCTAATACTCTGGGCCTTCATTTGGTTTTTGGAATGATGAGAAGGGGAAAAAAGTTTGAAAATGCACAAGAAGTGAAGCCAATTCAAGCAATTTCTCTCACAGGGATGAAGCTAGGGGGTGGCCATGGCCCCCGCCTAAACTTTTCCAAATTAACAAATTTGTATTGTATGTAGAATTAACCCTCGAAGTTTTGAAAAAATCTTCTATTAGTTCCCTATGTTGCAAAAGTATTCTTATGATGTAGATAAGATGATCCCAAATTATTTAATATAATAATATGCTCCTATTGATTTCATTATTTTTGGATTATTCATAAAGAGAGATTTTTTTATTTACATCAATTAATGAAATGCCTTCAAATCGTGAAGATTATAACTATATAGCTCAAAAGTTGTATGAAATAATTGGAGTATGTAGTAAAAAATGATTGATATAAATTTACTGATCTTTCTTATTATTAGTTTTTTTTTTCTTAAAGCTTATGTTAAAATTTCTGTTTTGTTAAAAGATTTTTTTTTTTTTGCTCCACTTATTTTGGCCTCCTCCAAAACAAATTTCTGACTTCGTCCTTGACTTCACCTCATTCTTTCAGATATCAAGGTCTCAGCCTCTGTTTGGTTGCTGAGAGAATTGAAGGTGTACAACTATAGTGAACTTCAGAATCTGGTTTTCCATTTTCATAATTCCATCAACAATGCCAGCTAGTTCTATGAACATTTGTATAGGCTTTGGCCTTCTAAGTTCGCTAACTTTTCTCAGCAACCAATAGACAATTAGAAAGAAAAAATAGTTAATTTATAACAAATTTAAAGCCAAATTAGTTGAACCATTCAACACATGGTAAATCTAGTTCTTTTGTGAGAATACAAGAACAATCATTTCCAAATACATCAACATTTTAACAAAATTAAACTAAATACCAGAGAATGACTAGGAAATCAAATCTTGCTACTGTCAAATAACAAAATTCTAGGGTTTCAGGCATTTGTAAACACAAATCAGGCATGAAAGAACGCAAAGCCCAAAACGCATTAGAAACCTAATCTGAATTGGGGAAAAGCATAAATCTAACACAACATATACCGACCTTTACAATTCGGCCTCGTAAACCCATTTAAAATCAGCCTGGAACTCGAATCACAAACCATACAATCTACTGAAGATTCATCGTCCTCGTCCCTGGGCAGGTCTTTATTTCCATGATTCAAGGGTTTATCCCAATCAGAAACCCTAGAAACATAGGGTTCTGAAGTAAAAGTTTCTGGATCTTGGCCAAGAATGTTGATTTGTATATCTTCCATGGGGTCGAGAGTTTTGGGTGTTTGGGAACTGAGAAAATCTTGAAATTACAAGAAGAAATAGCAATCTTGCGGCGGAACAGCGTGTGGATAGAACAGAAGAGAGTGAGTGTGTGTTTTGCTTGTCTTCGGTTGTGCGTTGTAAATGTTCAAATTTCAATTTTTCGTGACCGTTGTCAGAACTGACCGTTACTCCTTTAACGTAAAATCTAAAATCAAAGGCCTGTCTGAATTATGTTCCTCCAATCATTAAAATACACGTGTAATTACTCTAGGAAGTTTAGAGTAATGCTAGAGACCCCAAATATTCTACTAAAATTTTTATTAAATGTCTCACATGGGTGTGGGACCCACACAATGTGAGTCTCATGTGGGTCCCACGCCCATGTCAGATATTTGGTAAAATTTTTGATAGAATTTTTGGGGCCTCTAGCATTTTTGGGAAGCTTAAAGGTGTAATGTTAAAGCATCCCTACCGTATCACCTAAATTTTATCTAAAAATATTATTAAAAAATTTATTTCTTATTTTAGCAAATTGCAGTACTTTTTCATCTGCTTTGAGCATCTTTAGCAGCCTCTTCAAATTGTTCCCTTACTTATTTTAGCGGGTTGGAACTCTTTTATAACTCCCCATCAACTCTCTTATAAGTCATTCTAAATTAATATTTATTATAGTGACTCCCTACATATAGAAAGTTACTATAACTCCCTAATATCTGACAAAATTGCTTCGCCAGTCGACCCCCCAGACATCCGGGCAGTTGATCGGCCGGTCAACCCCCCTTAGTCACTGTTCTCAGAAGAAGACACCAAAAACACTTGCATGCGTGTATAAAGATGATTCATCATCATCATCATCATCATCATCATCATCATCACCACCACCATCTCTCTCTCTCTTTACACACACAATCTAGTGTGAATCTCTCACAAAACCCATCTTTTATTTCCACTTTCTAACTCTTTCACGTTCTTTACTCAGTCCGTCTTTCGATTTTCTAATTAAAGCCCATTGCTTTCTGAGTTGGGTTGTTGAGTTCAGATTTATCCGAGAAGTGTACATCAATTTCTCAAGACATTTTCTGTGTAGAAGTGGAATTGGGTATCTTTAATGTTCATATCTTTAATTTCAATTCAGGAAGAAGATAAAAAAGTGAAAGAATAGGGGAAAAATATTTTAATAATATATTTTAAGAAAAGAATAGGGAGTTTGTTGGGGGAAGTAGATGAAAAGTGATTCCTAAAATAATGAATGGATTTTTTAATAATAATTTAGGATAAAATTTAAGTAAACTGCTGTGGATACTCTTACTCCAACAACACTCCATATTCTTTCTCTATTCTATTAAAATAATCTTTTTAATTGCTTTTAAATTTGAATATTTTTTCAATAATAAAATAATTATTACACATACCAACTAACTTTGCAATTTTAGGCAGTGGGTCTCCTACTCAAATTGTAGAATTTTTCAAACAACAACGGTCATTTTTTCAATAGTCTAACAGTCATGTTTTTTAAATTATATAAATAGCACTATTGGCTCTCCCCATTTCAATCTAAAGCCAATTTCTCTCGAATTCATTTTCTAAATTTTTTTCTATGGCTCGCAATCGTGTAATCAATATGATTATTAATGATAAAGACTCTTATGACTAGTTAGAGATATGTACAGTGGTTGCAACGGAAAAAGAACAACTTAAGAGACAATCAAGCTCATGTCATGGATCTGTTGAAGGCCGCAAATTTATTCGGCGTGATTTTGCTCAAGGCCACGAAAGGTTTTTTTTTTTTTACAAATTTGCTGAACCACCTGTATATCTCTCCAATTTATTTCAGAGGAGATTTTGGATTCGCCGCTCTATTTTTCTCCAAATTCAAGTGGTAGTAGAAACACATCATCCATACATTGTCCAAAAAAGAAATGCTGCTGGAATGCTTGATTTATCTTCTCTTCAAAAAAATGACCGCCGTACTTAGGATGCTTGCTTATGATGTAACGAATGATTATATGGATGAATATCTGAGAATCGAAGAAAGTACCGCAATGAAGAGTTTAAAAAAGTTTGTTAAAGCTATTGTTGTTGTGACGACCCCAACCTCCAAACTAGTACATTATATAGTTTTAATGAGTTTAATTGCATGATTATGTACTTGATTGTGTGATTACATGTTTAATTCTATAATTATCTGTTGATATACGGAATATCTGTTTAATTTGACGACATAGAGTCGAAACTTAGGAGCCTAAACCGCTTCAAAAACTAAAATTGACTAGCCCAATAGGCTAATTGGAATATTTAGAATTTTATGGCAACTTTAATTGAAATTTGATTTGGGCCAAAATAATTAGAATAAACTGATTGACTTAGTTAGAATTAAGTCTAATTAATTAATCCTAACCACCTTTGATTAGGCCAACCTAATCACACCCTATGTAAGACCCAAATTAAGCTTATGAACTCATTTTTGTGTACACACTCAGCTGAGAATTGAGAGAGAGGAGAGGAGAGTTCAACATTTAGAGAGAGAAAGAGGAGAATTGTAGAGATTTAGAGGGAGATTCAAAGATTGGAGCCATAACACACTTGAATTCAACACTAGGTATGGCATTCATCACTAATTCATGTAGATAAGGCATGTAGTAGTTGAATTCCTCTCATCTTTAAACTCATTGGCATGTTATTGAAGAAAAGAAGCTATGAATATCAAGATATGGAAGAATGGAGTTGAATAGCTTACATGCATGCATATTTGAGTTGGAATTTCATGGAATTCATTCATGCATGGCACAATTATACATCATTTTAGAGAATCCATCATGTCTTCATGCCTTTCATGTCACTTGATCATATTTTGAACATGTTTTGGTGAAATGTATACTCAAATTGAGTTAGACTTATTTTACAACTTGAAATTGAAGTTAATGGTTGAGAAATTACCATGGTTTTGAATAAATGGGTTCAAATTGAAAGTGTTTTCATGTTACATAGTGGCTCTCAATGTTTTTATACCAAAAATGCAAGATTTGAAGCTTTTGAGTGCCATGTTTGAACTTCAAACACAGTTCTGGAAATTCCAGAATTCGTGCTGTCCGCTCGAGCGGGGGAGTCCACGCTCGAGCGTAAAATTCGAGCTCCCATAAGTCTCTAAAATTTTACAGTCTGCTCGAGCGACCAAAGTAACGCTCAAGCGAGGACCCTTTTTCTTAATTTTTCACTCGAGCGACCATCGAGCGGGAATTTCACGTATCCAATACTTTTGCAGGTCGCTCAAGCGACGGTTGTCACGCTCGAGCGACCACCTTTGTTTTTGAACCCCCGCTTGAGCGTAAGAAGTTGCGCTTGAGCGAAGACCTTGTTTTCAGCAAAATTTTATCAACTCTTTGAAGTGCACATTTGCATCCTCATGCCACTCCTAGCCTTCTTGGGCACCTTTTTGGACTCATATAATCATACAATAAGTTAGAGAGGTATGAAGAGAATTGAATCAAAACGAATGAAGTTTCATTTGTACTTTGTTATGTGTTTCATTTAGGTGGCCGACCGAGGCGTAGTGACAACTCAAACCACTGTGAGTAATAACCTTATAAAGATATGTTCAAATTACTTTTATTTTCGAAAGTGTCATTATCATCGAGATCGATATGTGAATGGGTTACTGAAACTCTAGTTCTTATAAATGAATGAAGTTCCCTTTTGAAAATGTATTCATGACTCAACCATTGACCCTTGCCTGGGGGAGATTAATACCACGGCATATTGACCCTTGCCTGGGGGAGACTAATACCACGGCATATTAACCCTTGCTTGGGGGAGATTAATACCACGGCACATTGACCCTTGCCTGGGGGAGATTAATACCATGGCTTATTGGCCCTCGCCCGGGGGAAACAATACCATAGCCCATTGGCCCTCGCTCGGGGGAAATAATACCGTAGCCCATTAGATGATCGGATATGATATTTTGATTGGCCCTCGGGGTTCAATTAGTATAACAACATTGTTATTCTATTGAATGTAATACATGTTAGTTTGAATGGGTATTGATGTTAAAATTTGTTATTCATAATATTGTCGAACTTCATTCATAAAACCTCTTTATTCTGTTATTACTCATTGGGCATTAGCTCACTAATTATTTATATATGTAATTGTAGGTGGGCAAACTGAACATTAGAGTTAGATAGCCCCGAGTCTACCCGGGTCAGCCTTTTGTGGAGCTTCCAAGTGAAGTAATTAGGCTTGGGCAGAGCCATGCTTATCGAACCCCTTTTGTGTGGTTTAATGATTTTGTATTTTTGTACATAGTTGGGGTTGTGTTTTTGTAAGATATGAATTTGTACTTATGTTGAGTGTAACTTGAAACAAAACCTTACTTAACATATTTGCTCTCCTCATATATGCACGGCTCAATGGATGAATTCTATAACATTTTAGACTTCCGCTAAGTCCCGTACTTTATATTATTTGTTTATGTGTATGGAGGCCGTAGGTAATCTATGATTACTGGCCAGTCATGACGCTAAACCTATGGGGGCGGGTTTGGGCCGTGACAGAGTGGTATCAGAGCACGAGTTATATCTCACTCACTTGTCCATTGAGCTATAGAGGGTCTAGAAGAGACTTCAAGAATGCATTCATGCGCATTGATATGTTAAGTAAGATAACCTTGTGATAGTATATGAAATTGCGTACATGACCATGTGTATCTATATATATATATATATGTTGTGTTTGTTATAATACAAAATTTCATATAGAAAATGATGAGAACCAGAGGTGATGAAATAGAGGAGGCAACCTCCTCAAGACTGGATAGAATGGAACGGATGATGCAAGACATGGCTGAAGCCATAAGACAACAACAGCAATGGCAGCAACAACAACAACAACAACCACCTCCCCCACCTCAAATGCTTGTACGACCTCCAGCTCCAAGGTGTCAGCCAGAGACCTACACTATTGCCTTGACTAGAGAATTTAAGAAGATGAAGCCACCAATGTTTCATGGTGGAATTGAACCGTTGAAGGCCGAAGCTTGGGTATTGGGAATTGAGAAATTATTTGAAGTGTTTCCATGTACCAAAGCCCAGAAGGTGCAACTAGATACATTCACATTGGAAGATGATGCAAGGCGTTGGTCGATGTTGGTTCGGAACGATAATAAGGATG